AAGAATCTGCAATATTATTGGTTCTGATCTACGGGTAGACTTCAGTTGCATACCCACCTGTGTAGAATCAATCTTACATACGTACAAGTCTAACATATTTCCAGGCTGAGAACATCGCCGCCTCTGCTATTTACCTTGTGTTCCTTGATAAGATCCGTAGAAGAATCTGTAAAATTATTGGTTCTGATCTACGTCTAGGCTTCACTCACATACCCTCCTCTGTAGAAAAAATCTTTCATCCCTATAAAGTCCTCCATTTGTCCATGCTTAGAATATTGCTGCCCATGCTATTTACCTTAAACTTCTTCATAAGACCCGCAGAAGAATCTGTAATATTATTGGTCGGGGATCTATGTCTAGGCTTCAGTCACATTCCCTCCACTGTAGAATCTATCTTACATATCTATAAGTCTATCATTTTTCCATGCTAAGAATATTGTTGCCCCTGCTATTTACCTTGAGCTCCTTGATAAGACCCGCAGAAGAATCTGCAATAGTATTGGTCCTGATCTGTGTCTAGGCGTCAGTCACTTACCTTACTCTGTAGAATCTATCTTTCATATCTATAAGTCTACCCTTTGTCCATCCTTAGAATATTTATAAGACAAAAAAAATGCTATTTTACCTTGAGCTCCTTGATAAGAAAAGCAGAAGAATCTGCAATATTATTGGTCCAGAAAAAAAAAGGCTTCATTTTCACATACCCTCCTCTACTGCAAGAATCTATCTGATTACATATTTATAAGTCTACCATTTGTCCATGTTTATACTAAATATTTTTGCCCTTACAATTTTTTGCGATATTTCTGAACTCCTTGATAAGATCCGTAGAAAAATCTGCAATATTATTGGTCGTGATCTACGTCTAGGCTTCAGTCACATACCCAACTGTGTAGAATCAATCTTACTCACCTACAAGTCTACCATTTGTCCATGCTTAGAATATTGCTACCACTGCAGTTTACCTAGATCTTCTTGATAAGATCCGTAGAAGAATCTGCAATATTATTGGTACTGATCTACGTCTAGGCTTCTGTCACATACTCATCTTTGTAGAATCTATCTTACATATCTATATGTCTACGATTCGTCCATTTTTAGAATATCGCTGCTACACATGTTTCAGCGCTCTTGCTATATATCTAGAGATCCTTGAAAAAAGTAACAACAATATTATTGGTTTTTATCAGGTGTATCAGCTTCAGTCACTTTTCCATCCCCGTAAAGTTGCCTCTCTGTGTCTTTTTCTATACTTTCACGATAACTGTTCGTCTATGATTCCACCTTATTATAACGATTTTTTATTTAGTTTCTTGTATATAGTTCCTTTGTTCGTATTTGTAAATACACATTGGGGTTTAGATTTTAAATTGTTATTTTCCATTTCCTCTATATACAATATTTTACATATAGGGACTAGTTAGGACTTCATAGAGACATTAAGTTATTATAGTGGATGTTGTAAGAATGGTAAATAAGAATGCGTTGTTTTTGTTTAAGAAATATTAAATTTAAATGTTTGTTTCAGAGATTTGGCTAGTTAAGTTTAATATTAAGACAAACGAAGAACAAAATTTTCCCATTCTACATTTTAGCCTTGTGCCACATTTTGTATTTTTTATACAATTAAACATGTATTCTTCGCTTTAGTGCCTATCTTTATTAATTTATGCGTTGTACTAGATTAACAACAATGTCTCACCAATTTAGAGTTGAGTTGGCTAGATGTAATCGTAAGTTCTATGTTAACAGTTTCTTTTCTCGCACTTCTCACTTGTAGAACTCCCTATCGGTTCCATGATTTCAAGTCAGATTTAATCTTCGAAAATTTAAATGCGATGTCAATAAGATTTGATCTTTAGTCCGGCCAAACCACAATATCAGCGTATTCAGCTTCGAAAATACATATCACTAGAGGCATTGTCTTGTATAATGCTGGACCCTTTGACATGATATAGTTTCAGAGAAAGAAAAAAAATGTTTAATAATATTTTTATACACTGGAGCATTTACTTTGTACATTTAACCTTTAGCATTCAACGTGATCAAAACCGACCCGTATGTATCACTTTTCAAAATCTCACTGTTTGTACCCAAAGTCTCACTGTTTGCGTGACTTCCTGCGTTATTTGTGATGATGTCGTCATCTACTGTTACAGATTATACATGGGGCAGTTACAGAGTGTTAAACATTTGCGAAAGGGAACTAATATCACAGACAGGGAACATCCCCCCACACACACCAATACGTTGCCAACTTTGAATTTATCTGATATTTTTTCATATATTAGGGTAGGTACCTCCAAAGAAACGGGATACCTAAGATTTAAAATGAATTTTGAAAGGTGAAAAAACTTTCTTGAATGTTTTATTTAAGTTTTACTCTCAAGTTAATAGATTAAATTTAATATTTTCAATAAGAAAATACTTTGCTGTGTTTCAAAACTAATTTAAATCGACTGGGAGGATTTTTTTAAATTTCTGTCAGCACAATGTAATTCTCTGTATTAGAAAATCTTCCAAAAATAAAATATACTTTTCCGAAACTTTATTTGAAGAATATTAGCTGATTTAAAGTTTGATTAATCTGAATTGAAATTAATATTAGTTAATTTTAGTTAAAAATATCACAGAAATGCACTTTTAACAAAGAGGTAGATGTTTTGATTAAGTGTTGAGAACTATCTTGATGAAAGTTTATCATTTTTTTTTTTTTTTTTTTTTTTCCTACGGGTGACATATCTAAAAAAATCTCCAGGAATATAACGTGAACGCCTTTTTTATATGATTTTAACTACCCAGTAATCTTAAAAATTTATGAAAATATTCTCCGTAATCTAATGTTTTTATTGAATTTTAGGTACTTTTATTTTGAAATTTAAATTTAATTACCGCTCTTATTTTCTGATAATGTCGTGTATGGACGTCTGTATTACAAAAAATTGGCACGTTCCCCCACACACAAAAAAAAATCAAAATCCTTTTTTAAAATATCGGGCATCGCAAAATTGTAGTAAGCTTTTCCATTTATGATTAGTAAATATAATTTTTACTTAATAACAACATCATATAACCTGTATAAATTAATACAGAATTTTAAAAGATTTAAAATTCTAATTAAAATTTTTAAAAAATGAAAACAATTCTTGTAAAAATTCATTATTCATCGAAAAATTTTTTCCTAAGAGAATAATCTCCATAATATATCTTATTCATAAAATTAATTAAAATCTTTTCTAATTAAATAATGTCTTGATTTTATTACATTTTTTTTATTTTACGATTCAGTGTAAATTTTCGGTAACTCGGGACGCCGTTTTACAAAAAAAATTGAATTAAATTTCCAAGAGTGTTTTCTTTATAACTAATATAAACATTAAACGATACAAAAAATGAATTTTTGAAATTTCATAAAATTAAAAAAAATGGGGGGTATTTAAATAAAAAGATATTTTTACCAAAGATTTTAAAAAAAAAAATGTTTTCTAAAATAATTCCATTTATTTATGAATAAGTCCTGAAAGTTTCATTAAAATTCAGCAATTATTTATTTGATTCTTGCAAGAATTTCCAAATCAATGTGTTTTTCAAAAAAAAAAGACGCTAAAATTTCTTATACTAATCTTTGATCCCCCGCTGAAAAAAAAGAAAAAGAAAAAAGAAATTAACCAAAATTTCGAACGTTCTAAAAAGATTAAAAAGATATAATTTAATTGTCAAAAAATCCACTGGTCTTTCTGTTTAACAAGAATTTTGACGATAAAACTTTATTTTGTTTTTGTTTTTTGCTTTTTTTTTAAAGTTTGGGGCATTTTTCACAATGTATTCTCATTTTTTAGCGCATCTGTAGCAAATCATTAAGGATTTAGGAGAGATAACAAAAAGACAAACTCAACCGATAGCTACAAAAAATACATGAAGTTGTGGAGATCCACGATGGCATACGCCCTAAATAGACGCAGCACACATTTAAAACTGATCATCAAGCTATTTGTTTCTTCTTGATTAAGGGTTTGGCTACAAGAAAATGTGAATGTCGTCCTGTTTCTGACAAACGACACGACTGTGACATTAATGTTCAATTCTGTGTTTATCAGACGAGCAATAACTGTTGCTCTAACAAAACGGTAATGTTGATTTTCTAAGTGTATGGCACAAGGTCTAAAAGTATGGGTCGCTCAGTGAGGATCGAACTCACTATTCAGTCGTAAATGATCTAGTGAGACAAGCTCGCTGACGATTACATCACGTCGTAGAGCCGACAGCTTTGAAAATCATTTGTTCATTTCGACATGGTGTAAAATCACTGCCCGGGGCCCCCAATCAGGTTTCATCCAGTCGGGTGGTTCGGATGTAGTACGCGCCAGCGTTGATTATCATTCCGTAAAAGTAATCGATCTTATTCTTATATAATGGGCTGCCCTTTTCTTCGTTTTGATTGGTCACAAAACTGAACAAGGGAGGTGTCAACTGAGGTGTCGAGTTTTTAACTAGGTGGTTAACATTAGGTGATATCGATACAGGCGGAGTAAATCCCACGGAAACACTCGATAACCAACGAAGTGGGTTGTCGTTGACGAGTCATGGAAATATCAATGTTTGGACAAATTTTTTTTTTTTTTTATTTGTTACTTTTTTTTTAACCTAAATAAACACAAAATAAAAACAGTGTAAGATAAGATGAAACTACATTCATAGAGAAAGATCTGAGCAGTAAAATAAAAATCTCACGAGTGGCGGGCGGCTTCGAAGTGTTTCTCTATTTTACTCTTGTTTTCTTCTTCCTTTTACAATTTCTTCATTTTTCAGAGTTGAATGAGCATTTTCAGATGAGAAACGTATGCAGATGACCTTACATTAAAATCTTGTTAAAAATTTTTTTTTTTTTAAAAATCACGGTGCAAACTAATTATTGTCAGGAGAAATTGAAGAAGAAAAAAATCAAAATGAATGAGGAGAAAAAGAAAAGCGTCAACAGAATCGATGTAGACAATTTGTTGATGAATCTCAGACCGAAAGGACGATACCAACTAACACAATATTTCTTGCTGAGCAGTTCCTTTGTTGCCTGTGCAGCCAGCTTCATAAAAATGGTTTTTATTGGTTCGTATAACTTATTTTTTTACGTTAAGAATAATAATCCATTGTTAAAACATTTTGCTAAATTTTTAATTCTAAGGAAGAAAAACATTAAGATATTATCAAATATTCTTAACAATTAAAACAGATCAAGAGCCTAACAAAAAGAAAATATTTAAAATTTACAAAAATGTATATCTTTTTATTAATTTCCAGTACCTGAATTTTTTAAAAAGCTTTTTTCTCTGTTAAAAATATAAATATATATATATATATATATATATATATATATATATATATATATATATATATATATATATATATATATATATATATATATATATATATATATAAATATATATATATATAATGTATATATATATATATATATATATATATATATATATATATATATATATATATATATATATATATATATATATAAATATATATATATATATATATATATATATATATATATATATATATATTATATATATATATATATATATATATATATATATATAAATATATATATATATATATATATATATATATATATATTTTATATATATATATATATATATATATATATATATATATATATATATATATATATATATATATATATATATATATATATATATATATATATATATATATATATATATATATATATATATATATATAGATATAAATATATATATATATATATATATATATATATTATATATATATATATAAAATATATATATATATATATATATATATATATATATATATATATATATATATATATATATATATATATATATATATATATATATATGTATAAATATATATATATATGTATATATATATATATATATATATATATATATACATATATATATATATATATATATATATATAGTTTATGCAAAACTAGGTAATCCGTCTGGGTAGACCCAAAGGAGGATGATATCCGGAGAGCTCAATGTAAATTCAGAGCAAATATGTTTGAATAATGGAACCTTAAAGTGGTCTGTTTTTTATTATATATTATTTTATTATTATATATATATATAAATGACAATAGGAAAACAAAGTAGTTGCTGATGCGTTTCGTCCAGTGTGGACTTTCTCAAATCAAAAAACGTGTCAGCAACTACTATAGTTTTCCAATTGTCATTTACATTTATAAATATTGTCTTTTTCTACAGGTTGACACAGAAATTTTTTATATATATATATATATATATATATATATATATATATATATATATATATATATATATATATATATATATATATATATAAATAAAACAAAGGGCGTTTTTTACTTATAGCCAAGTCATAATGCAGCTCACGTCCAGAACTGGAGTCGTATCTCAAATTTGGTCGTTCCACTAGAATATTTTCTAGTTTCGTTTCGGGTTTTTGTGGTAGTTCGTTTCTGTTTTCGGCTTAAAAATTTAAAGAAAAAAGTAGAAGTAATTTGGTTGGAAAGGTCAATTCTTTTTATCTTGGTATATTTTTCTTTACTAAGGACTTTTGGCGTAGTTTCGGATCCATCACTTCTCACTCCGCTAACAAGAGTGTACAAAATGTTATATGCATTTCAATCTTTGAATTGATTATCCTCATTGAAACAGTTTTAAATGAAACAAATGACATATTGGAACTAGGAATTCTGGAACAAGAGTATAACATAAAACAAAATAACCATAAAATTAACTTATTTGTTTATTTTATTTTTTAGAACTAAATAAACGTATTTGACGGTATATAAAGCGCACTTTTTTTTACTGAAAATATATTTTTTTAATTCTCCTGCGTCTTATATGCCATATATAGGTTTAAAATTCGCGATAATCGGCCGAAATTAGATGACACATTATTTAACGACGATGATAGTAGTATTGAAAATGAGTATCAGATTTTTGATAACGAAGACGAATTTAATGGATTTGAAGATGAATAAAATTTTAATGGTAACTGTACTGTTTTGATCAATCGTAATACTTGCTTGATTTTTATTTTGTTTTCTTATCTTTGGATATTATAAAGTTTTTATAGACTTGTGTTCTTTTTTACTATTATTTTTCGTTTAATTGTATTCATGACTTATTTAACCAAAATAGTAACTCATAAATGTAGCCTAGGCTGTACCATTTACTAATAATTTTGCCAATTACTAATTTTTCTTGATTTGCCCTGCTGAATTTGGGGCACGTCTTATACACCCGTGCGTTTTATATGCCGTCAAATACGGTAACTATTTTTTGTTGAGGTATTTTGTTATAAATATAATTTCTATGATTAAAGAAGTAAAAAAGTAATAAAAGAATTAACTTTTAAAATTGGTTTAGTAACAGGGTTATGGTTAATGATTTGTATACCTGGTTTACAATATCTAAAAATGTCACATTAAATTTATTGAATTTAATTATGGCATTAACTTTACATAACAACGTTCTTAATAAATGATTTTTCGTTAATTTTGTTGTATAAAATATTTTATGTTTCTAAGGGCAAACTAAACCAAAATTCAACATACTTTAAAAAATACATTTTTGAAAAAAAAACAAAACAAAAAACAAATAAAAAACAACACCAAAAAATAGAAAAAACTCATAAAAAATAAATTTCATCATCAGTAAATTTGCTTTTTTAAATATTTTCCTAATCATATTGTTATATGACAAATAAAATATTAAGTTAACTTTGCATAACAAATGTCATGAGTTCCAGCGCCTTACGAGGCTGGCATCCCGCTCTCACCCCTTCACTGTCGAAACCCCTAAATGTCGCCGTCTCTTCTACTCTAATAGCTTCATGTCTCGCACCTCTCGCCTGTGGAACTCCCTTCCCTATTCCTGTTTCCCTGTGAGCTATAATCTCCAGCTATTCAAGTGTAATGTCAATCGACATCTCCAGTTGCCTTGATCTATCCACTACCCTCCTCCTTTCTTCTATCACTCCTATCTGATCTTGCTCTAAAATTTCTGTAACCCCTTGCGTCCTAGTGGCTTCCCGCCTTGCTTGGGGTTAAATGCTTAAAAAAAAAAGCATTTTTACATAAATTTCGCAGTGTAATAAGTAAAAACAGAATCAAGGAATGTCTACAGAAGAAAAATCTGTTAAGAATTAAACATAAAACATAAAACAATGGTCATACTGTAGGGTCAGATTCAATAATCATAAATTAAGTTTTAAATTTTTAAATTCTTAAATTTGAAAACGCCACAAGGCTGTCAGGATGATTAAAAATAGTACATGTTAAAATGCGAGTGAAAGATATAAAGTTTGATTGGAATAAAAATTTGTGATATTAGATTTAAGCAACGATAACAGGATAGTTAATAATAATAAAAAACAAAAAAACAAAACAACAAGTGAATTACCAGGTGTAGACACTCATTGTATCACTTGCCACCTAACTAGCGTATTGGTGAGTGTGTGTGTTTTCTCCACTGAAACCGAACCCTTAGGGATTAGGGATTTTTTCATTGCCCATTTGCTTTCATCCTCTGTGAAGGTGTTGTTATACACCGGGTTTTTAAATAAAATTATTTTGTTTTATTTTTTTCCCACGATGCTTTAAGGTGGTTTATGGTCACGGGCTATATGAAACCAGTCCCCACTTGCGTTCAAGTCGTCTAATGAACGCGTAACTCTTGTTACGACTAGGGCCATCCTTTCATACAATTTAACGTTTTTATTTGGTCTGTCTACGCAATGTAGGTATCGAGCATTTTACTGAGTAAGTAGGTTGGCCTTTAGGCCCTTTTTTTTCTTTTTGCAGTATTATCGTTTTTATTGGAGACTTTATCAGGATAAGAGTTTTATGTTTTCCATTGGCTCCATCAACGGCTTTGTTTCTTCTCATATATATATATATATATATATATATATATATATATATATATATATATATATAGATTGTTGATTAATTGCTTTGTCTTAAGTATATATACAATATACGCCTATGTAAATCGGTTGGCGCGAAACCTAATTGTCTTAAAATTCTATCACTTATTACTACTTTATAAGTAATATAAGTAAAGATCTCAGCACTTGAATTGTTTGCAAAGATCTCAATTTTTGCATTATTTGCAAAAATCTCAACTCTTCTATTGTTTGCGAATATCTCAAAACTGGAAACCAATATTTAGTCTTACAATTCTAACGTTCCCTCCATCTTTCTTTATGGAAGCAGCGAAGCATAACGTCTGAAATTCAGCCAGGAGCAAAAAAATTGAAAAAACAAAATAAAACAAAAAAACAAAAAATTCACTATGGCATGATCGGGTCGCCATTATGAAAATAGGTTTTACTAAAACGTAGTTTGTGCGAATACTGTTTTTCTCGGTTGTGATTGTGCCTGCTACCAGTTCCTGAATGAGGAGATTACCAATAAAGAACAAACGCTTGCAAATAGGAATAATGACATATTTATTCTCGGCGTCTATACAAAGAATAACAAATAAATTAGTTTATTCGCCCCACCCTTCGAAAACCTTATGAAATCTTAGCTATTTTTAATAACATGGCTGTCTCTTGATAAGACTAAGATCTAGTCTGGGGACAGTTAATACAAAAGAACCTGCTAAAAGAAAAATGAGTAAAAATATAGAACTTTGGGTTCGTTGTGACTACTTTTCATTGTAGGCGCACGCAGTTAGCAACACCTAATGCTGTTTCTTGATTGGCTGATTTTGTCATCTTCCACTTTCGGATCTCTTTCTTTTCTGAGATGTGTATCCTGGCAGATTTTTCTTGGCTATTTTTCTTTGTTCCATCACGATAGATTTATTTACAAGTTGTGAGTTGAGGAAAGAAGGTGAAAGAAAAAAAAATGTAATTTCCTGGAGCTGTCATTTTTTTGTATCTAATTTATTGTCCTTTTGTTCTATATTCATATTAGGAATCAGTTGCCAGTTTTGTAACCAAAATTGAAATTTGGAAACAACTCAAAATGTGTACCATCTTGAAAGAAACCTGCAAATTTCTTCTTCTTTTATGTACCATGTCCCTTCAGG